AACTGTGAATTGGTCCATACAATGCATTGCCGGAGGGGGCAGGGGGGGAAGGATTGCTGCCAATGTAGAAGTCGACGTTTTTATTCCCTCAAACAAGCCCAGTGCTAATTAGCATTCCCCGTAAGCATGGAGAGTTCGACTGGCTCGGGCGAGAGCCGATCCGGGATATGCACCCCAGATCACGTGGCTTGTGGTAAGTGGCGCCACTTGCCGCTACACTACCTCTCCCTAAACGAGATTTCAATATTATCGGGTTATAACCATATATTTCTAGCTTCTGACCCTGATACTGGTGTTCAAGAAGAAAAGAAAACTGATAGCCTAGAATAGATGAAATTAACGCTTTTCCAAACCTTGTTGCAACTTTTTTTCCGCGGCTGTATATGCCTGCGATTCGCACGAATTTTGGCCCTCAGCATCTGCTGAGGCCTAGCTAGTAAGCGCACTTTGAACGAAAAACTCAACTTATCTCAAGAAGTGACTTCGAAAGTGTCAATTCTTTGAGAGCTAGTTTCCTTTGCTACCAAAAATTTACACTAGTGATCTACGAGAACGATTGAGCGCAGGACGGCGGCGCAGTCAGAGCAGATTTTTCATCAATTGTAGCGGACTCAGGATGCCACCACTGGGGAGACGAGCAAGAGAATCGTAACGTGCCGCTCTGCCGCGCGCGGCGATGGGCGCGGCGTTTTCTTAACTCGTGTTAGCCTGTCGATTGGAGCACCGGATTTCACGTGGGCTACGAAACTGTAGACATTTATGACTATTTTCGGTTGCAAATTGCCTGTTGTCGCCATCTACGACCTGGAAGCCATCGTCATTTGCAGGCGCGACGTCGCGCGCGACGCCCATCAGCGCGCGAATTACGATTCTCTTGTCACGTTCCCCACCCCCCCCCCTCCCCCACCATTGTTGGAAGAGAGCCGCCCTAGCTGCGTTCTCCACCGCGAGGTGTCAAACTCCCAATCGTTTGCATGGATCACCACTGTACATGTCAGTGAAGTCTAATGAGCGCAACCGCAGGCCTGGAGTCCCGCTGGAGCACCACGTCTTGCACAGGTCTTCTAGATCTTCTAAATGAGCACTGTTCCAGAGTGTAGCACTCTTAAACTTTAACGACAACTGGAGGAACTTACAAGGGTGTCGCTCAAGGCCCACCCGCTTTGTTCAAATGACCTTTGCACTAGGTGCCTTATAATCTAAAACAGAGCATCAGACAAAATGTAGAGAAAGAGATAATGGATCTGATTCATGATTTGTGTGTTTAGTGACGATCTGAGTGATTCAGGGATGGCAAGAAGTTAACAATGACGGACGAGTATCACGCGACATTCGACGGCGTTAAAGCTCAACTAACAGTAAGAAACTTAACAGAAGACAAAACAGGTCTGTATAAATGTCACGCTGTTTGCGAATACGGAGAAGGTCAAAGCAGTGCTATGGTCAAAATGGAAGAAACTGGTAAGCTTTCATTTTGTCAGTTGTGATAAATAACCCTTATACCCAAATTTTTCAGAGGACTTGACAAAAAAGCACTCCATCGACTTGAAACAAGACAAGGAACCTGAAAGGAAACCCTCTACATTAGGAGTAAAGGAATCCGACGAAGAAAGCAGTATTTCCACCTCGTTAGCACCGAAGACCAAGAGATCGAAGAGCAAAAGCCCAGTGCGTCATATTCATAAGTTTGTTGGTTCAGCTTCCGAAGCCTCTGACATACTACTGTGAAGTTCACGCACCGGTTTTCGTCCGTAAAAAGAAAAAGAACGGACAGTCAAAGTTCCCATCCTGCACTTTACCGAATTAAATGAGAACCATAGAAAACAACTTACTAGAGCAATGTACAAGGAGATATTAGAAGTTATTAATTAATCTTACCACTGCTGTTCCTTATTATTTTCTCATCCCT